TTTGCATGCAATATAGATATATATTAAATATGAATATGTCTGACATGTATATTAGGAGACCAAATTAAAATTCACTCTCTCCACAATATTAAGTTGGTAAACATAAGGCACTAGAAGATGGTCACTTCGAGGGAAGTTGATGGGCTAATTAACCTATCAAGCACAGGTGGGTTATGACATTTGGTATTCAATTGATAAGACCCTAGGGGATGGTCACTTCGAGGGAATCGACCTCTTATCACAACCCGTTGATTAAGTATGGTCTCCACTTTTTGATAATGTAAGCAAATCGGTCAACAGTCTCACTGTCCATAAATTTGTTAGTGCTACCAGTATCAATCAAAACTATAACATACTGATGTTCCAGAGTTCTGCCAACTTTCATAGTTTGCGGGTTAGAGTAACCGGTTAATGCATGCATTGTATATATGATAGGTCCAACATCTTCATTAGAATCTATACCTTTATGATCGAAGTCCACATTCTTAGCTTCTGGTTCCTCTCCAATTGGTTCAATCATCAGAAGTTGCCCTTGTTTACATCGGTGTTCCATACTCCACTTTTCATCATAATACAAACCCCTTGCTATCTTTCATTGAGTTCTTCTTGGGTTAGTCTTCGATTGTCAAGGTTTCGGTTGGGAATAGATGGGGCAGGTGGCTTGTTGATCATCTAGTTGTTATCACTTCTGTTTCCATGATTTTTCCTGCTAATTTTTTTCTCATGCAGATGTGCGAATGAGATCGCAGCTATCATAGTGCAAGGTTGACGAGCCTTAACTTTACATTGGATATCTGGATTAAGTCCTTCGATAAATGTTCTCACCAGTTATCATTCAAACCAATCTCTGGCTTGATTTGACAATCATTCAAATCTGTTCTGATATTCTAACACTGTAGAAGTGTGATAAATTTTGGCGAGCTACCCATCAACATTCTCGTATTCAAATAGTATAAAGCGAATAAAAAGTCCTCTCTTAAATTGCTCCCACGAGGGGACTCCGTGGCAAGTTTCATACCAATCATACCACTGGATTGCATCTCCCTCTAGTTGGATTGAGGCTATTTCTACCTTGGATTCTTTTAGAGTTCTGTGAAAACGAAAAAAAATTTCTACCCTAGAGATCCAATTGGTCGGATCTCCATCTTCCCATTTCGGAAATTTCACCTTCATGTGTCAATAGTTTGTGTCACAGTCTTGGGGCCTTTTTCTTGTATTTCCATATCTGTGCAATGTAGAACTTGAGCCCCCATCTTGTTGAAATTTGCTAAGGCTCTCTAGTAGGCTCTTTTTGAAATCATTAAGTGTTTCTTACAAACGGTTCTCAATTCTGGTTTCCAATGCTTCCATTTGTGCTTTCACTGAGTTATCGGTGGTCATTGCGTAAGACTGCAAATCTGTAATCTCAACTTCTGTTTCTAGTGTCGGGACTAGGGCATCAATCATTGCCCTATTCGGTGCTGCTATTGTGATGTAGTCGAAGCCAACACTATGGGAATGAAGGGTTGCTACGAGGATGCAAGGATGTAGCTATGGTCGCTGCGTGAGAGGTAGCAATGCTTGTTACGATCGCTGTGTGGAGGGATCGCTACTACTAAGGGCTGGGAGCAGCGATGGTGGTGCAGCTGGGGGCAACGCCGCCAAGGGCTCGCCGCTGCGGTGGCTGTGACGGCACGGATGGAAGGCAATGTTGCTCTGTCTCTATCGCACAATGGAAGGAGGCGCTGGTGACGCCGAGGGATCGCATGCAATTGAGGAAACGACTATGGCTATGGCAATCGTGGTTGCCTTGTTTTGATTGCCACAAGGAGGGATGGTCGAGCGACTACAGCTACAACCCAAGGGGAGGCAGCGATGGTGGCACGGTTGGAGGCAGCATCACCAACGATAGAAGCGACGAGGGGGTTGGTCCGTTGGCCGGGAAGTAGCGGTCGTGGTCCTTCTCGCTCGAGCAGGGTGGAGCAGCAAGGAGGGAAGGCTGCTGGCCGGGGAGCAACGACGATGGTGGTCGTTGACCGAAAAGCAAGGGCGGCGGTGGGGCTGGCCGAAAGCAGGGGAAGCAAGGGCCCCTTTCGACCAGATCGGCTTCAGATGGGAGACGATGTGATTATAGCGGTTACGGAGGTTGCATGGCTGAGGGCTAGGAGGTTGCATGCCGGTTGAAGGCTGGGTGGCTACGGCGACATTGATAAGGTCGAGAGGTAACGGAGGGTCCGACGGCTGCGGCCGTAGAGGATCCTCTATTGTTGATGCCGGTGGAGGAGAGGAAGTAGTGGTCGCCGAGGATAGGAGCGAAAGGGAAGACGGTCGCGGGGTTGTAGTAGAACCGAATGTTGGCAGCGTCGTCTCCGGCGAAGGCTCGGAAGGATGATTGCGGTGGAAGTTAGGATGAGGCGCCCTTTTCTTGCTCGAGCGAGATGGGGGCGTGAGCGGTTGTAGTGCAACGAAGGGGGGAGGGGCACTGGCTGAGAAACAACGACGGTGGTGGTCGTTGGCCGGAAAGCAACAACGGCGGTAGGGCTGGCTAGAAGCAGGGGCCCTTTCAACCAGCGATAGTGGTGGTGGAGAGGGGAGTAGGGGTTCTCGGTCGTGCGTTGGCCCCTTTCGGCCAAATGGGCTTCAGATGGGAGAAGATGTGGTTGTGGCGGTTATGGCATAATGAGGAGGGGAGGTTGCTGGCTAAGGGCTGGGAGGCTGCATGTCGGTTGAAGGCTGGGTGGCTGCGGCAGCATTGACAAGGTCGAGAGGCAGCGGAGGGTCTGGCGGCTGCGGCAGCAAAGGATGCTCTATTGTTGATGCCGGTGGAGGAGAGGAAGTGGTGGTCACCGAGGATAAGAGCGAAAGGGAAGACGGTCGTAGGGCTGCAGTAGAATGGGACACTGGCAGCGTCATCTCCGGTGAAGGCTCGCAAGGATGATTGTGGTGGAAGGTGGGATGAGGTACCCTTTTCTCGATCGAGCGGGATGGGGGCGTGAGCGCCTGCAACGCAACAAAAGGGGGAGGGGCGCTGGCTGGGAAACAGCGGCGGTGGTGGTCGTTGGCTGGAAGTAGGGGCCCTTTCGACCGGCGGCGGTGGTGGTGGAGAGGAGAGCAGGGGTTCTCGGTCGTGCATGGGCCCCTTTCGGCTAAATGGGCTTCAAATGGGAAATGTGGTTGTGGCGGTTACAGCACAACGAGGAGGGGAGGTTGCTGGCTGAGGGCTAGGAGGCTGCGTGCCGATTGAATGCTGGGTGGTTGCAACGACGTTGACAAGGTCGAGCGGTAGTAGAGGGTCCAACGGTTGCGACATTAGAGGATGCTCTGTTGTTGATGTCGGTGGAGGAGAGGAAGTGGTGGTCGCCGAGGCTAGGAGTGAAAGGGAAGACGATCACGGGGCTGCGATGGAACAAGACGCTGGCAGTGTTGTCTCCGACGAAGGTTCGGAAGGATGACTGCGGTGGAAGGTGGGATGAGGCGCCCTTTTCTCGCTCGAGTGGGATGGGGGCGTGAGTGGCTACAGCGTAACGAAGGGGGGAGGGGCGCTGGCTGGGAAACAACGACGGTGGTGGTCGTTGGTCGAAAAGCAATGACGGCAGTGGGGCTAGCCGAAAGCAGGGGCCCTTTCAACCGACGACGGTGGTGGTGGTGGAGAGGGGAGCAAGGGTTCTCAGTCATGCGTGGCTGCCGGCTTTTTCTTTCTTTCTTTATTTCTCTCTCTCTCTCTCTCTCTCTCTCTCTCTCTTGAGATGATGATGACTATAGCGAAAACGCTAAGGATTGCTGTTCTGATACCAAATGATAAGATCCTAGGGTTTTATCATGGAATAAAGGGGAGAAAAGGATATGATCACTTCGAGGGGATCGGCGTCCTAGTGTTTATCAAAAAACTTAATAATATTTTATTATCTGTCAAAAAGAAATAGTTACATCACTATTTATAGAGTTCCACCTAGAGTCTACCAGGACTTGGACTCTTAATAATAAATAAATATTAAATAAACCTCTATCCGACTCTAATTGAACTAAACAGATTCAATAAACATTATTCAAAAGCTTAGAAAATAAAATGATCCTAACACCAACCTAGTAATTGGGCATGATAAAGGAGCTCAAGTAAAAAAGAACAATATGTGGATAGCGTCAAAGAACTCGTCACAATGTGGAGTCACCACTGGGCTATGTCTCACACACATCAAAAGTATGCAAAACTAAGAATGACTTATAAGAGTCTAATGAGTGTATTATTATTAACTTTGACTTAAGTATTTTTGTTAATGATTTAAGTTAAACAAAGTTAATAAGTCAATTAGCTCATCAAACTTGGATCATGACATTTGATATCAGAGAACTCGTTAGAGGATTCGTTACGAGATAGAACCATTAACTTCAACTTAAGTATTTTGATTAATGATTTAAGTTAAACAAAGTTAATAAGTCAATTAGCTCAACAAACTTGAATCATGACATTTGATATCAAAGAACTTGTTAGAGGATTCGTTACGAGATAAAGCCACCACTGAATTATACCTCATATGCACCAAGCTAGGGTTTGATATGGCTTTATGCTAGACCTTGACGAGGATGTCAAACTCTTGAGTGAGAAAGATTATAACACCGTCAATTAGTCACACATCGAAAATAGACAAGAATAAGATTAACTTATAAGAGTCTGATGATTATATTACTATTAACTTTAGCTTAATCATTTTGACTAAATCAAATGAAATTGATAGATCAATTAGCTCCACGGACTCGAATCGTAACATTTAGTATCAAAATCAACCTTATATTTGAGAATGATGTGAAGCTTGAGTTCACGACATAAAATCACCACTAGACTGACTTCATATACATCATGCTAAGATTTGATATGATCTATACTAGACGGACATAAAACTCTTCAGTGAAAAAAATTATAATAACCTGATGAATATATTACTATCAACTTTAACTTTAATATTTATATTAGTGATCCAAGTCAAACAAAGTTAATGGCCAATTAGTCTATCAGGCTCAAGTCATTAACCGATAAAGACCTAGTGTAAGATTCAAACGACAAAAGAGGTCCATACATTCTCAAAGAGTTGCTTAAGTAACACAGGCCACTCCAGTCGAAATGGATTTTGTACCTGATTATTGTCATCGAAGGCAGTTCCTTACACACCTTAAAATGAGGTTCTAAGTTATCTTCCATTAATTCGCATTCCTCGCATAAACTTGGTGCTCTTGATGTCCTTCCTTTAGCTTTGTCATGCCATCCCATGCAGGGTCTCCTTCATATCCAGTAAATGCTACAGCATTCTGCAAAATGCAAACCATATACAAACTTATTCGTTTCAAAGATCTCAAGGTCAATTTTCCCTCACGGTGACGGCAGCAATCATGATACCAGATGATTTGAATGGTTCAGTTCCATTCATGTTTCCCTGTCGAAAAGGTCTTTAAGTCTAAATTTTTAATTAAGAAGCTTCCACCTGATCATACAACAGTCAAGAAATCATATCTGATCCCTAAATGACTGCTGATAGTCACAATCCTTGTCTTTCACAAGCATTACCAAATTCAGAATCAACCAGATCAGTGGTGTCCAAGTAAATCAGCACTTGGTCATCTGATATATGAATTCCACGGATGAAATGGACTCCTGAAACCTATCAATGGTTGTATGTTGTGATAACACCAACAGCAGCAGAAATTGGACAGAACCAGTATGATCTTATGTAAGCCATGCACTTGATACCCTGAAGTGTAACATTTCGACAAACATCTGATTTCCAGGAGCATCGAATATTTAGAGTAAACTCTATTATTATTTACAAGAGAGAAAACAAACCATTTAATGGTTCGCCACCAATAGGAGGTATAAACCTTCTGGTATACAAAATGTACACTAGTATGTGATATACTTTTTTGTGTTTTCATGTCTTAGCAAGCATGCACTTAACAAAATTGTTGAGGCAGATCAGATAATTCGATCATCATATAGGATTGTAGTACACCTGGTGAAATCAAGAAGACTCTGCAGTGTTATTATCTCAGCAGACTCGAGTATAATACTTAGAAGAAAAGAGCTTCATTAAGAAAGATTCAGAATCAGAATCTAGTTGCTTGTGTATTCATTTTCATATATGGAAAAAGATTCACAAATTGTTCACGTAGAAAAGAGGACAATTATAAGTAGAAATCTTTGTTGATGCAACCAGTTTAATAAAGCATTTTAGATGTAAAACAAGCACATTTTTATCATCTTAATAAATCAAGATCAAATAAAATGCAACTATTTTCCGTGTCCAAGAAAAATTGGCTAAAATGATGGTAAAATCTAGTTTATCTTAATCTTTAGAAGGTTAAGCATCAGTACTACCACCTACCAAAGTGTCCATGATACAACCAAAGAATGGAATCCTAATGAATAGATGGTTCCCAGGACAATACTAGGAATAGTTAAAAGACTGAAATGGCACACTGCAGGGAGTACAAACTAGATTTTTGACATCATATTTTTAGGATATCAACAGAGGTTTACTTCTGAATTAATTCTTCTTCAAGAATTATTGTCTCACATTTTATGGAGAACATGAAGTTGTAATCCATATCTATCAGTTGGCAAACAAATATTTTAATATGCCATAAGATGGATATTTAAATGCACAGTCTATACATTGATCAGTGAAGGAAACTCAATTAACTTCAGATAGGCTAACTAAGATAAACTACATATCCATGCCCCCTAATTAATATATGCTACAATTTCATTCAGAAATGCTCTAAAATGTTTATGCAAGTCCCAAAAATCCAACCAAATCATCAGATAAGGACATAAACAGGTTAGGAATTTAGAAGTACAGAATCATTAAATATATAAAAATATATATTTACGTTCAAAAGAGACAAGAATATGATTTTGCAAATGAAAGAATAAACCTACCAGGTGAACAACCTATAGTCACCTTTTATAGAAGATTTAAGAAATGCGACAAGGCTACCAAATCATAATGGTCCTAGAAATATTCTTGATCTTGTAGAAGGTATTTTCCTATCATATTTATAAACCATATGTTTCTGCCATCAATAAATTTTCTTCACTATAATGACAAGAAAGTCAACTTTTATCAGTTGATAGAATAATATCTGAAGTAAAAGATCTTGGGCAATTTTCTGAAAAAGGTCTCTAGTAATGGGTTTTTACCAGATGGTGCTCCCATATTTGGTTTTCACATGGGGGTGCCCCTTTTTCAAAAATCCCAATAATGCCCTTGAACCGAGTTATTTCAAGCCTAACCAATCCACAAGCCAGCTCAGTCCGGATTAGATTAATTCAGGTTGGATCACTTCGGATCGAGTCAGGTCGGATCCCTAATATTCAAGTTGCACTCATGTTACAATCGAGTTACACTCGTTCATAGAACCTATTAAAAATATATTAATTTTTATACAAACTTATTTTAAATTAATCATAAATAAAAATATATATTATAATTTTTGTTAGAATCATATTCTAGTAGAGTTCTTAAAGTTTTAATAATTAATTATCCTAAAATTTTCCAAAAATAAAAAATTATTAATTTTAAAATAGGTTAGGTAATCGAGTTTAACTATTTCAATTTTGAGTGTAACTAAATCAATATAGGAAATAGGAAATGTAGGATTTTATGACTAGTTTTACAATGAATTTAGGATGATTTTATATAGAAATTAATATCTTTTTTAACATGCTATGTGAATGAGTGTAATGGCTTTTTTCGATAATTTAGGACAATTGTATATAAAAATTAATATATTTTGAGGATAACTTGAGTTTTTAGTTTTATGATTAATTTAGAATAATTTTATATAGAAACTAATATATTTTTTAGTATGTTCTCTGAATGAGTGTAACTTAAGAGCATAATGGCTTTTCTTGGTCGTTTAGAATAATTTATATAAAAATTAATATATTTTTAGAATAACTCGAGTTTTTTAGTTTTACGATAAATTTAGGATAATTTTATATAAAAAATAATTTTTTTTTAATATGTTCTGTAAATGAGTATAACTCGAGCATAATGATTTTTCTAGATAAATTATGAAGAGGAGGCAGAAGAGGAGGGGAGGGAGTAGTGGAAGAGGAGTAAAAGGAAAAAGAGGAGGGGGGTGAGGGAGGTGGATAAGGGAGAGGGGGAGTGAAAGGAGGCAAAGGTGGAGGAATCTAGGGGGGATGGGGAGAAGGCGATGGAGTGGGAGAAGGTGACAGTAGAGGTGGGGTAGGAGGAGGAGGCATTGGTGGAGTGGGAGGAGGGGGAGGAAGCCAAGGGGGAGAGGGTGAGGAGGTGGAGTGGGAGGAGGCGGTGGAGGTGGTGGTGGAGTGGGAGAAGGAGGAGGTGGTGGAGGTGGGGGGTAGTTTGGGAAAATCAAGAGATAATCTAGGGCTTAATTAAATCAAATTGAATAGTTAGAGTTTAGTTGAACTAGTATGGTTTGATTCATCTCAATAAAACTGGTTCAGTCCTAAAAAACCAAGTCAAACCTAGTCAAAGGACAATCACTATCTTTTTATAATTTCATTGAGGGTATTTTGGTCAAAGCACAAAAAAGAGATGCCCTTAGTAAAAGCCAAATATGGGGGCATCATCTGGTAAAAGCCCATCACTAGGGGCTTTTTTTGGTAAATTGCCCAACGATCTTATCAATAATGCATAAATAAAAGGCATACTAGACCTAGTTCTTTTGGTTACTGTATTTCAAAGATAGTTTTCATCACCTCTAGGAGCTTGTCATCTATCCTAGCAAGGTAGAATAATATCAACAAAATGGGATTGTTCAATGGTCACTTTCAGCTAAACTCAAAGCAATACCGAGCTGCTACAGACCCAAAACAGACTCAATGTTAGGCCACCGACCTGTGGCCATATTCAGCCTCAATAAATAGCTGATAGGACCCTATCTGGATGTAATGGCAACCTCAGTATTGTCACAAGATAATTTTGTCCGATCTGGGGCCCAAGCGAGTGAAGACAACACCTCAGGATGCACATAATCAGGTTGAATATGGATGGGACAGCAGCTGTGATGTTTTGGAAGGGATTGGAGGTAACTCCCTGTTACAAAACAAAATCTAACGTACAATAGGTGTTAAACACTAGCAGCCGCTCTAAATTATAATGGATTGAAGACTCAGTCAACTACAAAATCAATTCCTTTAGTCGAGATGGAAAAAAGGGCTGGAACATCTGAATTGGGGACTGTCGAGTCCTAAACAGGTTAGGATTGGGGTCTGCGGACTTTATTTGGGCATTAACAATCCAGTCCAACTTGCTCAGTTTCAGCCAGATCCAAAGACAGCTTTATCCAGCCAACACAGGAATTGTCAACCCTATAGGACCCACCATGTGGTTCAGCAAAGGCTAGAGAGAGGTGCAAAGCAGCAGGACAGAGAAAACAGTGGTTTTGACATCTATCTTAATATTATTTTCAGCAAATATTTAATTATTTTTTTGATTATTCTACATTGGTTTTCAACACCATCAATGTCACTCCTAAGAACAGATGAAAAAGTTGAAGGATTGCATGAGGTCACTGATAGCATGCGTAAAAGTCAAATTTCAGGAATATGATCTTAATCGATTTCAGTATAGGACTACATGGTCACTTATAAGTGACGTGATGTATCTTCACCACCTAGGTGTCCTGAATTGCAAACGGTGGGCTAGGATGCCCAAAAGCAAAACATCATATCAGCATCCAAATATGCAAAGTAAGAATTCTCTCATTCTTTTGAACCAATACGAGTAAAGTAGTTTATCCACGAATAAAGGATTAGGTTAACAACTTCGAATACAGAAACACTTTAACGAACTAGACTTGTTAGAAACTATGACTAAAAGAAAATAAATATTATTTATTAAGAAGAAACTAAGTGGGTAGGAGAAAATCTAGCTATATTGATAGTGCATATTTAAAATTTGGTATAGAGGAAAAGTTAAAACACAAAAATGGTATAAGAATTGATATTCTTAAGGATCTTAAGAACAACGTTAGAGATATAATTATAATTATAAAATTTGTCTTAGGAGAAGAGGTTTTGAATGTTATAAGTATTTATGCCTCTCAAGTTGGAATAGATAACCAAACCAAAAGAGAACTTTAAGAAAATTATGATGATATCATTCGAGGAATACCTATAAACAAAAACTTACGAATAGAGGAGATTTGAATGGTCATACAGGAAAAACCTATGATAAATTTAAAGGGGTGCATGGGGCATTGGTTATGGAGAGAGATAAAGAGGGTCGGATAATTTTGGATTTTGCCACCTTATATAATCTTAGAATGTAAATACTTACTTCAAGAAAAGAGATAAATATTTGAGTACCTATAATAGTGGTCACAACTATAGTGAAATAGACTTTTTTCACTAAAAAGTTGGATAAAGTTATATGTAAGAATTGTAAAGTTATACCTAGCGAAAGTTTGGAGAATCAAGTTTTTAGATATTTGTGGATCGTGTTAAAGCTAGAGAAAGAAAGTGCAAAGATTTAGGTAATATTAGATGCATTAAAGGCGAAGATCAAAGAATACTTTTTAATGATAACAAGATTAAAGAAAGATGAAAAAGTTATTTTTATAAATTATTTAATAAATATTCCACATAGTTATTATATTTAATGATAAATATTAGTGGTAGATTTAATAATCATAAATTTAAAGGGCCCCTCCAATTGATATTAGTGGTAGATTTAATAGATTTAATAAATCTATGATATTATATTAAATCATAGATTTAATATTAGTGGTAGATTTAATAATCATATGTTTTTAAAATAGTGGGAGAAAAAAAATTTGGTGCCAATTTACAAAAATAAGGGTAACATATAAAATTATTCAAATTATAGAGGAATTAAAATCATTAGTCATACTATGAAATTTTGAGGAAAGTTATCGAAAATAAAATAAGGCTTGAAACAAATATCGTTGAAAATCAATTTGATTTTATGCCTAGAAGATCAACCATAAAAGCTATTTATTTATTAATATAATTAATGAAAAAACATAGGAAGAAAAATAAATATTTGCATACGATTTTTATTGACTTAGAGAAAACCTATGATAGGGTTCCCAGATATTTATCATGGTAGGTTTTAGAAAAGAAAGGTGTATCCATTAATTATATTAATGCTATTAAAGAAATATATAATAATGTAGCTACTAGTGTTAAGCTTATAGGGAGTGTCTAGTGAGTTTCCTATTAGCATAGAATTACATCAAGGATCTACATTAAGTCTCTATCTTTTTACATTGATAATGGATAAATTTACTAGTCACTTACATGATAGACCTTCATAGTGTATATTATTTGGTGATGATATTGTCTTTAGTTGATAAGAGCCTAAGTGGAGTTAATTATAAACTTGAACTATGGAGGCAAGCCTTAAATGCCTTGAACTTTGTGCATGGTAGACTTCTTTGGACCCTTGTAACCCAACCGTTCAAAGCTTACGAAGTCCATATTTGTATGACGAAGTCCATCTTTATATTTTATAGTGCCTATAAGGTGTTTATTTAAAAATTGGCCCCACTAAATCATCTTTTCCTTGTAAGTCTCTATGGACTGCACAAGGTTATAGGAAGGTTAACCATTTGAGGGTAGATAACCGGATACCACATAAGTTAGTATGGGGCTTGGTAAAACCAACTAGGTTTGTGAAAGCTTGCGCTAATAAATCTCCTCCCTCTTCCTTGTCCCCCCTCGACCTCCTCCAGCAATACCTTGGTATATTCTATCATACCATGTATCAGTACAACAGAATGGACTAGACCCATATCGGTTCAACCATAGACAAGCATGGGTCCAGTACCCGAAATTAAAAACCTTATTATTATTAATTACCTCTTTATTGATGATTTATGTCTTATTTATATCCAAAGTTATATTATTATTTTTTTGCATCACACATGCTTTTTCTTTTCCTAATGCCAATTCAACCTAACATTGACATATGTGGATTTATCGTGTGTTGCAATCTTCTTCACAAAAGGTATAATGTCTTTGTCTAATAATTCAAAATCCACTTGTATCCTTCCTATGTTGGTTCCATCTCAGTGAATTGAGATAACCTGCATCTTGGCCAATGTTAGCTAACTTAAATGGCAGCATGGTTACTCTAACACCATTGGTTTTCACCAAGTAGCTGCTGATTCAATAACCCACAATGTTCTATAAACCAAAATTATTTAAACTCAAAACATTAAAAGTATCCATGGTCATATATAACAATTCATCTCATTGGACATCTTTGATGCAGGACTATGCATCATTAGTTCCTATTGGTGGGATCATCAACATAATACATTAAACCAAGGTTCTAAATTTCGAATGATACTGCCTGTACCAGACGGTACGCACCGGTCCGCCAGCAGACCGGTATGCAGACCACCCCTATCGGGCGGAACGCTTGATATAGCCCCGTATCAAACAATACGGGGTTGTATCGGATAGTGACGGTCAAAATTTCGATCGTTACCGACCTGCAACAGTGCTCCAACGATCAAATTAACCGTTGGAGCCCTTTCTCATGGGTTTTTAAACTCATCCTCCCCCCTATTTCACTTCATTTCACTCTCACACTCTCTTAAACTACCTCAAACTCATTTTTTCTCATATTCTTTATCTCATATTTTCACTCTCTTAAACTCTACAAAGGAACGATTTGTGAATTCTAGAGAACTTAAAGAAAGCTAATTGATTAATCAATTTTCAGGTGATAAGATAAATCAGTTTGTGAAATGTTCAAAAGAAGAAACACAGACAGCAAGAAAATAAAACTAAATAAAAAATGATATATACCTTGATTTCCTTATTGGAGAATCCGGCAAAAAGTCTCCCGTGCCAGTACAAAAGAGAAGTTATAACTGAGTCACAATTGATGGAAGCAATAGTACCAATGTCTGCTTCTAGTTCATTTTCTGACAACTCCTGTATGTATTGCAATAATACTTTCAATAAACAAATTCAGGAACTATGACATACACTGATTGATTCATTCTCAGTTTAAAACAGAGATTTTACTGCTATAGAACTTTTAATATACAAATTCATAACTATTGCATATACTCATTAATTCATTAGTTAAAAGAGAGATTTTATCCAAAATTTCTATACAAGTAACATCAAGTGACAAAACACAGACCTGTATGTGGATGGTTTTATCCCATCCTCCAGCGAAAATTGAACCTCTGTCAATGTAAAGTGCAAAAATTGCACCACCCTGAATTTGCTCCGATTTTACAAGCACATCATTACTCCACACCTGATGACATCAGTTACTAGAATGCCTAAGCCTTAATGATTACGACCAATTGAAAATGAGCACAAAGAACTATAAATAAGCACAAAGACAGGCATGCAAGTGCATGGACAAAAAGCATAATTCTATGGTGGACAATGTTAAAGAGCAGCAGTCCAGTTTCCAATAAGGAGCAGAGAAAATATCAGTAACTCCTAAGAAGTACAAGATGAATAAAAAACAAGCAAAACTTTCATGAGAACTAAATACCTCATGAGTCAACACAATCTTTTCATTTACCTTCACACAGACGATAAGGAAGAATGACCAAAATGGTATGGCCATATGACAATGTGATGACAAAGCACATAAAGGAAACATAAAAGTTCTACTAGTTCCGATCTTAAAATTAAAATGGTTCACGATACATCATTTTTGCTGTTCCATTTGTCAATTTCATGAACCTGCATGCTAAAAATTTGTGTCCTTATGACATGTATGAGAAATCTGAAAAGCAATAGTGTACTTAAAGAACAACAGACTTCCAACTCAAGAAAAAAATTAAACAAAACTGTCATTGTCCACTGTCTATCTACAAATTAACTGTAAAATCCTAACAACCAACATGAGGCAGGCTTATTTTCTAATTGTGTTCATTGTAAATTGAGTGAACCACCTCAAACTTTATAGCTAAACAGATTTGTTTGTTTTTTTGCTTGAGTTGGAAGTCTGTTGTTCTTCAAGCACACTATTTCTCCTCAGATTTCTCATACATGCCATAAGGACATAAATTTTTAGCATGCAGATTCATGAAATTGAAAAATGAAACAGCAAAAATGATGTCTTGTGAACCATTTCAGAAGTAATCTTTTTTGTTTGTTTAGGAAATGATAATATAGGTGTAAATGTATCATGAACTCCCATAACAAGTGAAATAGTCGATTTTCCAAGAGTCAATTGGAGTCACAGCAGAAATCATCACGTGAAGTAATAATAATTTTCCAATTGTTACAGATATACGAAGGCAGAGTTTTGGCAACATCACAGTATTCACTGTTCAACTTTATTAGAATATACTACAACAGTAGAAGTTCCAAATTATAGTATCAATTTTTCACTAAAAGGAAATGGAAAATTAAATGAACACGTAAGCAGCACTGACCTTTAGAACTCCATTTTCATGGGATGAAATAAGCAAATTGCTCTTGACTGAAAGCGATAAAATAGGGGTTGAATTTCCTGGTGCCTCATCCCCTAAAACTGCCAGGGGGCTGTGGTCATGGAGCCACCATAATCTGATGGTACCATCCCAACTTCCACTATAAAGAAAACCATTAGCAACTGCCAAAGAAGATACCGTTGATTTATGGCCAACCATGGTGAATGAAAGGGAGTAATCCTGGAAAGAAGAGGGGTAAGATACAAAGGTTACTTTCCAATTATAGTGGTACACATCTAACATGCAAAAGGTTGCTTTTTGGAAGAAGATGAAGATAACTAAAGTTCTAAATGAAGATTAACATTAACTTTATCAGAATGTAGATCTAAGCATAAAACCTGCATGGACCAAGCTTTTATAGACTTGTCTCCACTACCACTATAGAGGTATCCTGTTCCTGAAACAGCCAAACAGTGAATGCCACTATAACGCCAATCATTATGCTCATACCATTTCTTCCATGGCTCTTGACCGAGAGATGGACCAATGCTCCAAAGGAAAATACCACTTCCACTGTCACCACTTATGCAAAATGGCTTGTTTCCATCATCCGAAACAAGTAAAGCCGTCACTCTGTGTTCGTGGCCTTTTAAAGATTGAAAATGAGAAAAGTCCTACATGACACAAACAAAAAATTTTAAATAAAGAAGATTGATAACATATTCTCCTTAAGGAAAATTGACAATACCAACAAAGTATAACAGATAAAGGAGAGAAGAATTACAAGGGTGTCCATTTTCTTCAGCATCAGAGTTATTAATTGATTGAACAAGAAACAAACAATGCATATGATGTCCATACTATATATATGTCAATAAGTTGAAAAACATATTGTTGAAAGACATGTAAGACTTGGAAAATAGACCTAAAACCAAGAATGGGGAAATAGATAATATGATGTTAAGATTTAACATGTTACATTTGAATATATAACAAATATTTGTAGAGAAATATTCCATTTATAACATGTATACTTGAGCTCGTATTCCCTGATATCTGTACCTGGATTATCCAGGATCCCAGAAAATCAAGTATATAATCATGGTATTAAGAAGAACATGTTATAATGTCCCAACTATTGGGGTAAGCTACATTGATGTGTTCCTGCAATTGAGCTTTATAAAGGACATTGCTAGTTAAAATAAGAGCAGTCTCTTTTATTATTTCTAAAAAGGTTATCTTAGATCTTCCTCTCTCCCCTTGCACCACTAACCCTAATTGACTCCATCGTCTAATGAGGGCATCGATATGTCTTTTGTAGCTTTCATACCATATTAAAAAATTTCCTTCTTTTATCCCCTACCAAAAGGTCCAAAACTACAATTAATTGTTCTTAAAAGAAAATTATTTTTTACTATATTTTTTAGTAACCACAAAAATTCATCTCAACTATAATAACTATTTATACATATTTCCTAAATGCTCAACTGATCGATCTATATAGCATGGGTGAGATTGAAATTCTTTATTTTTTTTTCCTTAAATCTAGGAAACACACTATATTCACACAACCTTTGATGTTCCTCTCCTCATCTTTAATGTCAAACCTTAACAAATTTTGCTGGATTTTCAATTAGGCATATATTTATTTATTAACACATTAACATATTTTAATTATTTACCTACATCTCTTCATGATTCTAAGCATCCAGATCCTACCAGAATCAAGAATGAGCTCTTTTAATTCATCAAAGGTCCTAAATTACCTAAATATTCACTCGTTCCCTTGAGGAAACTTTTTACGTTCATACAAGCTACATATACTCATTTATCATAACTTAGTGACCCTTCCAATAAGAAGACAATTTAACCTTTTTGCCTCATATTTAAAATCCTTGTGGGTCTTTAAAAGTTCAAAGCCAACAATAAATTCAGAATGGTACAAGGACTCAATGAAACGCAATTCCTTTAGTTAGTGCTTTAAATTATGTTTCCTTAGTCTGAACTAAGGTCTACAATGTGCTTCCATATTGTTTATTAATATAAAAAATAGAAAAGGTAAAAAGAATAAGCAAATTAGCATGCTTTCTTCCACTTTATCGAGAACAATTTCACTATTTCTTTTCTAGACAAGGAGCAAACTAACGGATTTTCAAATTCAGAGTTGCTTCCAACTATTTTTCATATCAAAAAAATCATCATAGGGTCAGTTCTAAGAACTATGGAGATCAAGAAGGTTTCTTCTAAGATAATAAATTCCGCAATTGACTATCAGCCTGATGTCAATCCTTAAACCTGGCAATAAATCCTAACCAAAACATATTTTTGTGAGATATCTGACTGAAAACCTAGATCTGATGAAACAAAGTATATTTCCTAAGCTGCTAAAATTCAATGAAAAAATCAGAAAAATATAGAAGAGGAGAGAAAGTTTAGCAGTAGGATCAGCATTCATTTTAAACTCATTCTACAGTGGAATGATTATGCTGTTATTTGTCAACTAATAATTGCATCAGAGGAACAACAACAAGAATTTAGCACAGATTATAGAGAAGCTAATCGTGGCTTCCAATAAAGGAATAATGCATTTCTATCAGATAGCAATTGACTATCACGTAAATATACAATAATGCTATCATAGGTTGAGCAGCCTGTAGAAAATGTGCCATGCGAGGAGTTACCTGCAAGGACCACACATTGATTGTCTTGTCAAATGAAGAGCTAAACAGAAAGCCCCCTTCAAAAGGAAGATATGTATTAGATAAATTTTAAACTTCAGTATCATAGAAAACTAGCAAAACATGACTAGAAAAAGATTACCTCAAATCTCAAGCAGAAAAATAGAGTTTATAACAAGAAGAGGGTACATTATATATACTGAGTAAGAAGCATATGGTGTAACAAAAGAAAACAAACATAAAACCAGTACAATATCGAACTTTTAACAGTAGAAAATTTTGTTTGTACCGCCAATAGCCAACCCAGTTACACAATCCTTGTGGCCCTGAAGAGACACAGATTTCAAGTGACCTCCATACAGCCCTTTGACAAAGTCTCCATCAATTTTCTCCTGCTGCAAATGCTCCCCATCGGAAACATTGCTCCCTATCATTGCAACATCTGAAACATTCTTAGAAACACTTGAGTTCACTTCCCTTGGGGAAACATTTGGGGAATTTTTATGTAAGGAAAACAAATTCCCAAGAACTAAGCAGCATAAGAAAGTATCTTTTGCTACAAGTCCATCCCAAGGATGAAGATCATAAAGAAAATTTTCTACAAAAGGACGCTGAATGCAGTGCCAAATATCATATACTTGAGGTCGGTTTTGCACCTCATAACTCAAACATGATGTGAGAATATGAAGCAACGGTTCAAATTGAGTGCCCAGCAAAAACATTTCCAACTTAGAGACCACTATCACCTTCCATGCATCATATGATTCAACAAAATTCTCGTGTTTCCCTTTATCAAAGACACAAAACCAACCATTGAGTACCTGTGTTGCAGGCAACTCATCACCAGTAACAAGTATGACTAAGATGCAGGCCAATGACCACACATCCGAGCCATATCCAAGAGCACCTTTAAATCCACAATTGCTGGCATCCTCATCATACACCTGAAGAAGTACTTCAGGGCTTATAAACACTTGGTTCTCGGCCTCGCCATAGTTATCCCCTCCTCCATTGGGTGCACAAGAACTGACAGCTTGCCAAATTTGCCTTCCTGTTAGCAAAACTTTGTTTAAATCAATAAGGCAATGTCCAGACTCATCGAAACAGATGCAGGAAGGCATCAAGCAACCACAGATGATGCCCTGCGAGTGCAAACCCATCACTGCTTCACATAGGTCCAAACTCGTCTTCCCAAATGCAAGAAAGTTCTCAACACTCCCTCCAGATAAAATAAGCTTCCTCTTCTTTTTCAAAACATCTGAAAGGGTTCGATCAAAGCTTTCAGAAACCAAGTAAAGATTAGATCTTTCTTTTTCCGGGTTCATCCAGAACCCGTAAACCCTACAAAGGCCCCGTCTTTCCTTCCAGGTGGCCTCCGCAAGAAAACGCAGTTCGTCTCTCACCCGATCTCCCAATTCATGCATAGCCTCCACCACGCTCGCCGTGTAACTGAGACGAAACCATCCAGGTTCTTTAGACGAAGACGAGGCCGTAACGATTGGCAGAAGACTCACGAGCTGATTCGTGGACGAGAACCAGGGACCGCCGAGAGGCGAGGACATGGTTGCCACCAAAAGCTCGGCCGTTGTACCTTCAGCGGGAACGGGAGAGATGGCGTCCGGAGGCAAGATTGTATATTTCCAGGTAGAGTAGAGGAGGCGTTGGTCCCCGGACAGGGGGGAAAACTCCAGAGCAGAAGACGGTTTGGATTTGGCATCGGACGCGGAAGAAGGGAACAGAGGGTGAGAAGAGGAGGAAGAGATGAGGCGGAGAAGGTCGATGTTTTTGGGAAGCGCATCGTAGCCGAGGGAACGGGGGAAGGGGACGACCTGGTTGCAGGCGGGGCAGCGGACGGCATCGGGGAGAGCGGAGAGCGGCGTGGGTAGGGCGGCGATGCACTGCTCGCAGACGGAGTGGCCGCAGGCGAGGACACGGGGCACCGTGGACCTCTCGTCGTACGGCTCCAGACAAACCGGGCACTCCGGCGACTCCATGACTCTTTCTCTTCCCCGAATGGAGCGGATCAAAATACTCGAGCCTTTCGGTGGTACATATATATATATAT